CGGACTGAACATAAAACACGCATGTTAAACATGGCTGCTTGCTTTAAAATCTGCTGCTAAACCGTAGCATTCAATGTGCTAATCGAACGCATTGCTGCTAAGCAACAGTCAGGCATCAACAACAATGCCGGCTCCCTTAACGAAGCTGCCATCTTTTAACCCCTTAAGGACACAGCTTCAGAAGCTTGACTTACGCTTAATGACACAAGCAATTTTTGCATTTTCTTGCTGTTTGCGTTCAACTGCAATTTGCAGCTCTCTCATTTATTGCACCGACACATATTATATACTGTTTTTTAAAGGACAGAAAGGGCTTTAATTTGATATAACATATATATATATATATATAAATGCTTACTTATTATAAAAAAAATACAGAAAAATGCAAAAAAAATGAAAAATATTGTTTTTTTTTACAGTTTTTGCAATAATAATGTGTGCATAATTAGTGCAGGTTAAGGAAAGTAATTAAAAATAAATTTATTTATTTGTTCTGATTTACAGAATATATAATGTGTCTGGGATTTTAAGTTTTTTTTGGTAGTTACAGGTCACAAAGCACAAGGAGTAAAATAAACTTTTAATGTGGAGCGATTTTAGAATTTGGTATGTTTGTCTTGTAAGCTTAATAGCCATAAAAGAAAACAAAATTGCCACACAAAAGTATATATTTATATAAAGTAGACATCACGGGCTATTTACCTAAGGTTGTTTTGACACTTTCTACGTAGCCATTTCACCGCCAACCTCTGCTAAATATTGGAGTAAAATTGTGTTCTTTTTGGTTTTTGGCACACAAACTTATAACAGAGAAATTCTCGTGTATATTTTGTAAAGTTGGTGTGTGCTATTCCTGTACAAAGTTTTATTTTGTGTTCAGTTACATCTGCTGAGTAAAATGACACCCCCATTGTATGTCTTTTGCACTATTTCGTGTAGTTACAGTGCCATACAGGATACCTGTCCTTTTCAGTATTCACAGTAGAATTTTGAGAGATGAATTTAATGAGCCTTAGCTTCCATTTGGGGTATTATAACAGTTTGACTGTTCAAAAAACCCCCACAAAGGCCTACCATTTGTAAAAGTAGACACTCCAGGGTATCTTATAAGGTGCATATTGTGCCTTAACATGCCCCCATTTTTTCACCAATATATGCCAAAGTATGTGGTAAAAAAATTTTTTGTGCATTTTTTACATACGGATTGCATTTTTGCTGGGCGTTTTGTATATTTCATATGTGCCACTAAGTTCAAACCCCCCAAATTATGCTCAGCTAAGTCTTCTGAGTAAATGACACCCCATATGAATGTCTTTGGCACTATTTCGTGAAGCTACAGTGCCATATAGGAGACCTGTCCTTTACAGTATTCACAGTAGAATTTTGAGAGATGGATTTAATGAGCCTTAGCTTCCATTTGGGGTATTATAACAGTTTGACTGTTCAAAAAACCCCCACAAAGGCCTACCATTTGTAAAAGTAGACACTCCAGGGTATCTCATAAGGTGCATATTGTGCCTTAACATACCCCCATTTTTTCACCAATATATGCCAAAGTATGTGGTAAAAAATTATTTTGTGCATTTTTTACATATGGATTGCATTTTTGCTGGGCGTTTTGTATATTTCATATGTGCCACTAAGTTCAAACCTCCCAAATTATGCTCAGCTAAGTCTTTTGAGTAAAAATACACCCCAATGAATGTCTTTGTCACTATTTTGTGAAGCTACAGTGCCATATAGGAGACCAAGCCATATCCGTTTTTACCAAACTTTGAATTTTGACGCTGGGCCTATGTGCAATTTCCAAGCATCTTCGCAGGTTTTAAATTCAAACTACCCCACAAGGCCTACCATTTCTTAAAGTAGACACCCCAGGGTGTTTCAAAAGGTATAGTTTGAACCTTAGCGTGGGATCATTTTTCCGCTAGCTTGTACCAGATGTAGTGGTAATAAGCATTTTTCTGCCTTTTTGACATACAAAGTGAGTTTGCACAGTATATTTTGCAAACCTTATGTGTGCTACGACTGTATAATACTTCATATGTTGCTCAGCTATGTCGGCTGAGTACAGCAATACCCCCGTATGTACCTTTGCCAGGTATGTGTGGACATGGGAGGGGCACATTTGGGACACAGCCATTCCATTTTTTTTCAAACTTTGAATTTTTATGCTGTGCCTATGTCCCATTTTAGAGTATTTTACCAGGCTATATAATCCAAATTCCCCATAAAGCCATACCATTTCTTAAAGAAGACATCCCAGGGTATTTAAAAAGGCATATTTTGAACCTTAGTGTGGGATCATTTTTCAGCTAGCTTGTACCAAGTGTAGTGGTAATAAGCATTTTTTCTGCCTTTTTGACATACAAAGTGAGTTTGCGCAGCATATTTTGCAAACCTTATGTGTACTATGACTGTATAATACTTCATATGTTGCTCAGCTATGTCGGCTGAGTACAGCAATACCCCCGTATGTACCTTTGCCAGGTATATGTGGATGTTGAAGGGGCGCATTTGAGACGCAGCCATTCAGTTTTTTTCTAACTTTGAAGTTTTATGCTGTGTCCATGTTCCAATTTGGAGTAGTTTAGACGGTTGGTTATTGAAACTTCCCCACAAACACATACTATTTATTAAAGAATACACCCTGGGGTAATTCAAAAGGTATATTTTGAACCTTGGCGTGGGATAATTTTTTCTCTAGTTTGTTCCAGGTGTAGTGGTAATGAGCGTTTTTAAAATGTATTTTTTTACTTTTTATAACTTTTTTACTTTTAAAAACTAGTTTTTAAACTTTTGTTTTGCTTATAAATTTTTTTAAACTTTCCTAAACTTTCTTAAAACTTTTTTACAGATTTAACATTTTTCTAAGCTATTTTTTTTACTGTTAACCCCTAACTAGCAGTGCGCAGCACTAACAGTAAATTCCCCATTTTCCCATAACTCCCACCCACCCCAGCTAGCAAAATATATAGTTATAAAATATTTAAATTAATTAATTAAATAAATTGAACCCCTGAGGGTTAAAAAAATAAATAAAAGTTAATCCTCAGGGGTTAAAAAAATTAGATCACAGTATAATACTGTGATCTCTATTTGATCGCTGTAGGCAGTGATCGACTGGCAGGGAAGGGGTTAATTTTTATTTGGACTAGGTAAAGTGTGTTTTTTTGTTTTTATTACTTAAATGTTATTAAAACATTTTTAAGCTTAATTTTTAACTTTTTAAAGTTTCTTTTAAAACTTTTTTTTAACGTTAACCCCTAGTTAGCCTAACGCCAAATCCCCCAATTCCCCACTAACTTCCACCTACCCCAGCTATCTAAATATATAATTTAAAAATAATTTAATTAATTAATTTAACCCCTGAGGGCTAAAAAAAAAAGAATTAACCCTCAGGGGTTAAAAAAAAAAAATCAGATCATAGTAAAATGTAATCCCTGCCAATTGATCACTGTGGTCAGTGATCAATTGGCAGGGAATGGGTTAATTTTTTATTAAAATGGGTAAGGGGGGGGACACTTTAAATTAACTTTATTTTTTTTTCCAGCAGGGGGCAGGATCAGCACTGATCCGGCTCCCTGCACTTCACACAGAACCCGGAAGTGCAGGGAGCCGGTAGGTGAGTATAGAGAGCACATGTGCTCGCTCAGACTTGTGGTCAGAGCAAGCACATGTGCTGGGCAGCTTGACTGGGTGCTCCCGGTATGCCTCCAATGCAGAGGCATACCGGGAGCACCATTAACCCCGCGATCGCCGCGATAGCGGCGATCCGGGGTTAATTTTACCGCGTGACGGACGAGGTCCGTCGCCCGTCGTTAAGGGTCTCCCCTGTGTGACGGACCTCGTCCGTCACCCGTCCTGAAGGGGTTAAACGTCAAGTCACATCTTACAAGGTGATTACTCCCTCCTAGAAACGCTTAATGGATGAACTATTCCAGAACAGGATGATGTAACTAATACTGACAGACTCACTGAAAACTGAGAAATAACAATTTTATTATGGTAAAACATGCTAACAATAATGCCTCCAATTACCTGTTAAGCTATAATCAATAGAGTTATTCCAGGTATCTGCCACCCTTTCTATATCACTGTTACCGCTCCCACTGGAAGGCTATTCCAGGTATCTACTACCCTTTCTATATCACTGTTACTGCCCCCACTGGGAGGCTATTTCAGGTATCTACTACCCTTTCTATATCACTGTTACTGCTCTCACTGGAAGGCTATTTCAGGTATCTACTACCCTTTCTATATCACTGTTACTGCTCCCACTGGGAGGCTATTTCAGGTATCTACTACCCTTTCTATATCACTGTTACTGCTCCCACTGGAAGGCTATTTCAGGTATCTACTACCCTTTCTATATCACTGTTACTGCTCCCACTGGAAGGCTATTTCAGGTATCTACTACCCTTTCTATATCACTGTTACTGCTCCCACTGGAAGGCTATTCCAGGTATCTACTACCCTTTCTATATCACTGTTACTGCTCCCACTGGAAGGCTATTCCAGGTATCTACTACCCTTTCTATATCACTGTTACTGCTCCCACTGGAAGGCTATTCCAGGTATCTACTACCCTTTCTATATCACTGTTACTGCTCCCACTGGAAGGCTATCCCAGGTATCTACTACCCTTTCTGTATCACTGTTAGCTTTTACTTCTCCCACTGGAAGGCTATTCCCGTATCTACTACCCTTTCTATATCGCTGTTACTGCTCCCACTGGAAGGCTATTCCAGGTATCTACTACCCTTTCTATATCACTGTTACTGCTCCCACTGGAAGGCTATTCCAGGTATCTACTACCCTTTCTATATCACTGTTACTGCTCCCACTGGAAGGCTATTCCAGGTATCTACTACCCTTTCTATATCACTGTTACTGCTCCCACTGGAAGGCTATTTAAGGTATCTACTGCCCTTTCTATATCACTGTTACTGCTCCCACTGGGAGGCTATTCCAGGTATCTACTACCCTTTCTATTTCACTGTTACTGCTCCCACTGGAAGGCTATTCCAGGTATCTACTACCCTTTCTATAGCACTGTTACTGCTCCCACTGGAAGGCTATTCCAGGTATCTACTACCCTTTCTATATCACTGTTACTGCTCCCACTGGAGGCTATTCCAGGTATCTACTACCCTTTCTATATCACTGTTACTGCTCCCACTGGAAGGCTATTCCAGGTATCTACTACCCTTTCTATATCACTGTTACTGCTCCCACTGGAAGGCTATTCCAGGTATCTACTACCCTTTCTATATCACTGTTACTGCTCCCACTGGAAGGCTATTCCAGGTATCTACTACCCTTTCTATACCTACATCCCAATTTGTTCCCTCAATATCACTACAAGTATTCATAATAAATATGTAAATTGCAGCAGTTGGCTCAGTGCGTTGGGAGTTGCTGTGTAATAGCGACAGCAGGAACTCTGCTGGCCGGCTCGGAACTTCGAGGTTTATCCAAGCCATTTAACCGCGCAATTAGCTTTGTATAATTTATTCACAATGCATGCAAGACTTAATGGAATGAAAGTAATGCATTTGCTAATTGTTTGAAAAGTTTATTAAGTGATGCTGAATCGAGTGTTACTTGGGTGATAATGGAACTGTTTGGTCAAAAGGTGATTTTTTTATGGTGACAATGCATCCCGTTCTCTCTTTATGAAAACCACACAGATACAGTCTCCGGGCCAGTGTTTTGTTGGGTGAATACATTTCGGCACGTGATGATGAACATTAAAACAGATAAGATTTTGTGAATGCAACACCCACCAAATTAGTAACAGACTTGAAGGATGACCGCACTGTCAATACATTCTCGCTGGTCTGCCGCGATTATTTAGAAATCACTAATTCACATCATTAATCCTCTATGTTTTCCCGTCATTTCTCCAGCACTGTGTCAGGATTTGGTTTATTCTCTAGATTTGGAATTTTCTCAAACACTGATATCTGGAGCTTTCATCCTGGCCCATAACCCTTGGAGTAATTCTGACAGAAACCCAAAACTGGCTACGCCCGTTCAGGGATCTATTTTAGATAAATTGGGAATGGTGACCGCAGACCACCCACAGATAGCGTCTATGGATGGCACTTTCCCTCTGTCCTGGGGCAGCTGCAAATTAGCAAAATCCTTCCCTATCACCTTTCCCGGGTATTGAACGCTGTGTGCGTTTCAGCCATATTGTAACCTGTCGCTGATCAGGGGGTTACTCCAAACCCATGGCTACACGAAAGGCAAGAAAAAGGGTTTTGAAATTTTTGTTTTTGTTTTTAAGTCCAGCTATTAGGATTAACAGATATAACATAAGCAATATTCTGCGCGCCTGTCAGAGATTTTTAAAGAACGGTAAATCGGACAGACGTGAAAGCTGGTTAAAAGAGAAATAAAAGATTTACGTTTACTTTTTATTCTCCGGACCTCCAGACAAGATTTCCACTGAACTGCAGTAAATTCTGTTTGAGAAAGTGAAGACCTCAATGAGGAAAAGCTGAAAATCTCACTTAAGCCGGCCCATTTTATTACAATAAATGAATATTTGCAGAGGTGTTGGAGTCAGGAAGGATTTAATGCCCAGCTCTGGATACAGGTAAATCGCTATGTTTCAGCCACGGAGTGTAGATTGAGTGGAATAACTTATCAGAGGGTCCAACGAGCCTGAACTCCCAAAACATCCGGATACAAAATGTCTCCGAGGGTAACGGTCATTTATAACCCCAAGGGGTCCAGCGTGACTGACCTGCAGGATTTGCAGAAATACATAGTCAGCGCTATAAAAATAGCAGCCTGGGATAAAATAACATTAGTTAGATTGTGGGTGATTCTAGGGATTCTCCTGGGCTAATTCTCGGTGTCTGACGCATGCTGCGTGTGCGGCCTTTGGCTGCTTATCCACTACAGCCCAATCACAAGCCGAATAAAGTGCTTTATTTAGATTTTATGTCAACAAGAAATCAGCAGAAAATAAGAAAAAAGACAGATCTTCTTAATTTCCCTCCCATTACAATCTACGGCACATCTAATGATATTTATAGGAGACACAAGCCACCTGGCTGTGTCTGAAAGTAAATATGATTACACAAATTGCCCCATAAATTCTGTTTATGCCAAAGCAGGTAACAGAGTAAGATAACGAGAGTGTTTAGCGACTCAAAGTAACGGATTTAAAATAACGAGAAAGGGAAGAAAATGGCAAATGAGTGCAAGCAGACAGAGCAGGAAGGATGATTGTAAATCACCAGTAAATTAGCTGGTACATAGAGCTCAGTAAAGCATTCTGGGACATTGTGCAAAGCATGCTGGGTGAGGGCCCCTGGCACAGAGAGATAAAGGCTACCCGGTGTGTGAAGACTCAGAACATGGGTAGAACATGTTATAATAAATCTCTAAATTAGAAACAGAAATTCAGACAGAGATCGTATACTGTCCCTATACCAAACAAATTTAAAGATTGAGCAGCGATACTGTATATGTTGGCGCTTTTAAAATACTGAATAATAAGATATGAACGAGAGATTTTATGAATTACAGTTACCAATTTTTAGTATTTATACACATTTCTATGGGTGCTGTGAACCCTATGTTGTTGCAAATGTATGTCTCTGTCTGTGTTTAATGCCACGTGTCACAGTGTTATATGTTAACTTACTGATACTACCCTGTATGTGACATTACTGCACACCTGAATGACGGAGCCAGAATGGCTTGTACACTACATTACCCACAATGCTTAGCCAGCCTTTCCCGTGAAGGTGCTTGTATACTATATTC